TTCTTCAGTAGCGTTGGCATCCATTTTTAGAAGAAGTTTTGGAGGGAAATCTACCGTGTAAATTTAGGGAGCTAAGTATGTCTTATGACGGTTTAACAGACCCTGCAAGACATTTGAGATCGTTCGATAACATAACGGTGATGCACAGATATAGTGACACAATCAGTTGCAGAGCCTTTCTAACTACTTTAAAGGGCTCAGCACAGGATTGGTTCCACCAACTACCGGCGGGTTCTATTGATAGCTTTGAAAGATTCAGTTCTCTGTTTTTAAATCAATTTGCGAGTGACATGGCATTAGAAGACATACCTCTCATAAAAAAACATGCAACAGTAAGAGGGGGAAACTTTGCGGCAATATGTTTCAAGATACACTACGGAGTATGTAGTAGTTCCTTCTGCTTCGGAGGAGATCAAAGCTAGAGGTCTCACACGAGGCTCAAGGCCTGAAAAGTGTAGGGATTCATTGGTGTCTCCCTCCTGCTCGATCACCTTGTTCATTTCCGCTCCATGGTGTCTCCTCTTCTGCTTCACCAGCCTCACACTGAGGTCGATATTCAGTCTATGCTATATCACCTTCGCGTCAATCCCAGTCAACTCTTCTGCGGTGTAAGCAAAGATATCTGCAAACTCTCTTATTAATCCAATCAACCCCGATCTCATCGGTTCCTCAAGCTCCTTCTCGATTTAGAACTTGCACTCATCACAACCCTACACCATCTAAATCTCCTCGATTTCTCCACCAGGCTGCGAGTCCACATTTTCTTTCCCCTTATCGAATTTCACATGTCCTCCTTTGACCTCGACCCACTAGGTCGATCTGGAATTTCCTCACTCGGTTTTGCTTGCTTCCTCGCCAACTGCTTGTTATTGCTCACTGTGGTTTGATAGTAACTCCTCGATGTGAGCTGGTCTCCTGCTATTTTGCCCACATTTTCTCCCACTGGATATTTGATCGTCATGTGGTACGTCGACACCACAGCCTGAAAAGCATTCAAACCTTTTCTTCCTAAGATAATGTTGTATGATGTCTCTGCTCCTACCACCACAAATCTCACCATCCTCACCTTCCGAGTCACCCTTGATCCTAGAGCGACCGTCAAATACACCTCTTCCATCGACATCACCTCTCCTCCATTGAACCATACAAAGCCGTTGCCACCGGCTTCAACTCCAAATTTAGGTGCTTGTTGATCTGAGCAAAGCAATCATAGAACATCACATCGACCGAGCTCCTCGTGTTGATGAATACCCTCTTCACATCGAACCTGCCACTTCTGCCGTGATTAAACATGCATCATTGTGGGGTAGGTGCACCCCCTCGGCCTCCTCTGCTCTAAAGCTAATTACGGGCATCCGAACAGTAACACCGACCTCCTCTCTCTTTCGCTTTACTGCTCAAACATACTCTCTACTCGCATTATTTGAGTTGCCATCAGTTGGCCTGCTGGAAATTATATAAATCGTGCCTCTCTTTATGGGCACTTCATCTCCTTTCTCCCCTCGATCTCCACTTCCACGCCTCCTCTTGCCTCTATTACCCCTTCGACCATCACACTCTTCTTGATCCCTATCCTCCTCGTCATCATCTTCGTTGTCAATTCGCTCCACAGAGTCCTCCCTGCAGTTCCCCTTGTCTTTCTTTTTCGCTCGATCATGATAAACGAACTCCGTAAGATGGCCTGCCCGAATCAGCGCTCGATTTCATCCTTTAGATGCCTACAATTTTCAGTGGTGTGCCGTAGTCCCTTTGAAATTGGCAGTATCTCTTCGACTTGGGTTGAGTAGGTCGGTCGAACCTTGGCTTCAGCCAAGTGATTTCACTGTTATCCAACTTCTCTTCCATCGCCATCAGGACCTCCCCCATTTTGGTGCTCAATGGTGTAAAGTTACGATACCTCTAGCCTCCTAGTAACATAGGCCGATCATGGCAGCGGTCTTCTCGCCCCTCCTGCACCAGACCTCGCTTGTCTCTCCTAGGTGACCCCCTCCTAAGAAAGCCCCTTCTAGGCGAACCCCTCCTAGGCGAACCTCTCCTAGGTGAATTCACCCTCCTTTTCTTTGGCTCTGGCCAAGCCAACTCCTCCAATTTACCGAACTCCGCCTCAGTCTCCTCCAAGTTAATATACTTTTTGCACATCTTCAGCACCTCCTCATACGTTGGAGTAGGGGTTTTGGCCAACAACTTCTGATAAAGTCCTGCTCGAAGACTCTTAATTAACCCTCCTGCTTTGACCTCGTCCGAAGCAGATGGGATTTCCAAACATGTCTGGTTGTTTCGAGCAACATATTTCCTCAAAGACTCTTTCTCTCCCAGTCGCATCGCCATAAATGTAAGGTATGTCTTTTCCTGTGCTATTGTGCTTGAGTACTGGTTTGTCAATTTTCCATCAAAATCCTTGAAATCTCTGATCGATCCCGGGGAAAGCTGGTGGAAACAATCGAGTGCGCCTCCCCGCAAGGTTGATAGAAATACCCTGCAGCTAACTGGATCTGAATATCCGTGAAAGACCGCCATGTTCTCAAAAGTCCTCACATGCCTCGACGGATCTGTTGACCATCATACGTCAGATTTGTCTCTCTGAAATTTGCTGGCAATGGTGCTTCCCGGATCTCCCTTGAGAATGGATGTCCTCGAGCACGCCCCTCCTGCCTCCCTCCTACCTTCTCCTGTAATTGGCGAAGCTGCTCTTCCATCCTCTCCATTGCCCTATCCTTAAGGCCTCCCTCTCTACCATAGCTCGATGCATCCTCCTCCTATGCTCTTACCACCGTGGTCAGCCTAGTCGTAGCCTGAGAAGTGTGGTTCGTAAATTGTTGCACCGCATGCGCCACCACGTTGGCCATCATCCTTTGCATCTCCTCCCTGGTCATCGCCACCATCTACTAACCAGGGTGCTGATTCTCCTCCTTCAGTGCCGCCACCACATGCGCCACTGCTTCACCTTGCTGCACCCCTGCCAGATCTGGGTGCAACGGTGCAGGAACCATCGTTGCTATCGTCGCCCGAACTTCCTGCGCTCGGCTCGATCCTTCCTCCACCATCGGAACCGTCAATGAACCTCCCAAGCCTGGCGGAACAGATGTTGGGGTTATCGGCATCTGCAAGGGTCCGGAGAATCCCAGAGGGAGGCCTACTCCAAACGGCCTTGTCGTCGTCCACGCCTCGTCGAACAACGATTGTAAGTTAACTCAGGGAATTCCGTCTGCCATAGCTACACAACACCCATTATCTCAAGCAAATACACACAGCTTTTCGAACACAAGTCCTCACAGACGACGCCAATAATATAGGTCCAACATCGAACTGGTTGAGAATTGGTCTGCCCTTGTTATCCTCGCCGGTAGAACGTCGAACTCTTGCACAACTCTCACACCGGAGGAATTTTTTGGTGAATAGCCTCCAATGCTTAAGTCAATCTCAAGCTCAATTTCAAAGTTATAATGGTATAATTGAAATATCGTGTGTAAAATCATAAGCCTCACCCCTATATATAATGGTGAAATACCTGTTTTAGAAGCTACCCGGATTAGCTGAGCTGGCTGTCCAAGAGCTGTCCGACCTGCCCGGTAGTACAACACCCACTAGAGGTGTGTCAGAAACGGTTATAAACATGGACCAATCAAGTCACGCCATGTGTTCCCCGCACGTGGATAAGGATTCCTCTAAGGTCCTCTCGAAGGCTCTTGTGCTCGACTAAGTCTAGGTCGATCTTGGGACAGCTCCGAGTCTGTAAAGTTGTCGATCAAATGACCATTTGCTCGACAGGTTAGCTATCGACCAAATCTTCCATGGCTTGGAAACGACCTGTCCTTCCAGAGCTCCCGTTTCGATAGTCTTCGACCACAACCCCCTATTCGGAATTTGTTCGACCAGAGCAATTTATTCGGCTTGTTCAATCGGCTAATTAAACAGGTTTATTCCCTTAGGTATAATATCCCATATCATATTGTTTATAAGTTTTTAAAATCTTAAAACAATTGATTTAGAAAACTATTAGATAAAAGAGGAAGCTGCTATAAAAGAAATAAAAAATAAAAAATAAAAATAAAAAAATTACACATTTCAATCCAACTTGAAAAGAAAATGTTAAAAAAATACAAATGTGGTTTTAAATAATATTTGTTAAACATATAAGTTTATAAATGTGATTTAAAAATTATTATTTTTTACAATGTGAGGTTAAAATACAAATGTCATTCTGAATTAAATTAATAATGTATTTTATGGAAAAAGAAATATTCAAAATTTTGAAATAAAAATTTTTATATTTATTTTCTAAAACTTTTAATTTTTACTTATAATTCAATATCCGCATACTAGTATACATTAATTTTAAAAATAATTTTTATACACTCCAGCGTAATAAATACAAATTTTACATAAAAATAAATCATTAAAATGAAGAGAGGAAAATGTCCGTGATGGATATATGTGCGATTTGAACGTGCAATCGAATCTCATTTCTCTTTTCCGGTTTGGCTTGTATTATTCGAACATGGTTCGCTTGAGTTTTTTTAATAGAATCGTTTCGNACAGATGGATTTCAAGAACGGGCAGTCACGTGTTGCACAAATCACAAAAAAACATATCGTCCCTTGTTCGAAAACAATTCCAACATACCACCAAATACATCATATATAGCGAGGTCACACTGACACAATTATGAATCACAGGCACACAGTAACCTTTTTGTGGTCCATATACCAAAATCAAAATCAAACCCTACACCCAAGTAAAAAGAAACAAAAAATAAAAAATTAACGCTTAAAAAAACCTTTCTACATGCAGTAGTAACAAGAAATGCTTCTTTCTTGTGATTGCCATGTCACCTTTTAATTTATCTGTTGTCACGTACGTCTCTAGTAACATGCACCCTTCTGACACTTCACAAGATCCCTTCTGTTGCTAGCCCTTTGCACGTACCACCCAACTTTTTCATTTTTAGGTTTTAGACCCCAAAACTTTCAAATTATTTCATATTACGCCCTCAGCTCAGCTCAGTGGTTTGTACTGTAGTGCTCGCCCATGCCCATGCCCATGCCCGAACTTATGGACGCAAATTTAGCCAGCTCGACACTTTGGTCCTCCAAGAACTGCCTATTCTCATTTCGACCCACTCCCAGAAAATCCCTTGTCATGCTACTCTCTCCTTGAATGTTAAACTTCTGCTTTCCACCACTGGCGGGACCCATCAGTGGCCCGTTATTCAGTTCAACATCATTTGGGCTTCTGAGGCCCGGAAAACCAGACGAGTCCATAAGCCCAAACCCGAAAACTGATGACCCATTGCTCCTAGTGGACCCCATTTGGGCTGCCTTCTGCAGCAGTGCTGTGGCCGACATTGGATTATTGTTGTTATCGGTTGCATTCTGAATAATGCTGTTGTTGCTGTAGTAAAGAGAGCTTATGGCCTCGGAAAAATTCCCCTTTTTCTCATCCTCTCGAGGAATCAAAGACGACGATGATGATGACGCATTGATATGATTATTATTATTATTATTGTTCATATTGTTGCCGCAAATCAACCACGGAGGATTCTTACTTTGGGTATTTGCGGCGAATTGGACCAAGTCCTCCGGCAGATTGGTGGAGCCTTGAGGGAGATGGAAGTTGTTGACACCCGAGCTGGGCCCGATTGTGTTGAGATGATGATGGTCCATCCAAATGGGCTTCGTCAGATCCAGGCCCGGTTCGAGTTGTTGGGCCCTTAACATGCCTGGTGGGAACTGGGGATTCATCATAGGGTTTTGGCCAAGATTGTTGTTTCTTCCAAAGTTTAGATTGGGACAAGGCGTGAATCGAGCACTTTCTTCCGCTAGCGCGTCGCAAAAGGCTCTGTGTGTAATGAAGCTATCCTTTCTGTATCACCATGTAGAAAAACATTATTTAATAAGAAAGAATGAATGAATGAATTGTAGTTAATAAAAATAGTGGCAACATTTATTTACTCATGATACCAAAGAATGAACAAGCCAGTTCATTCAATTCACATGCATTTATCATTTTTTATCCATAAATATATCTGAAAAAAACATCTTGACCTGGAGAAGAGAGTCCCGCAGTCGCACTTGTACTCTCTGGTACCACATATCTTGGTGTGGGCTTTCCAGTCCGACTGCACGGCATACTTTTTCGAGCACTTGTCGCATTTCCATTTCTTCTCGCCATGCTTTCTACTGTAGTGTTTCTTGATTCCAGTCAGGTCACCGAGGGCTCGGCTAGGGTCGTGGTGGACGCACGTCTTCTCCGGACATATGTACACCTTTCTCCGCACCTGACAAAAATAAATAATAATAAATAAATAACTTCAATGTCTACACATCAATATTATATAATATTTATTTACTTGGTCCTTGTTGGCCCGTTGCTTGAGCTTCCATGGGAGGTTGTGGCCGCGCCTGTGGAGCTGTAGATTCTGGTCTCTCTGAAAACCCTTGTTGCAGATTTCGCAAACGAAACGGTTAGTCGCCATCAGTGATTTTGGGGAGAGCGCGATTACTTCAGCCTCCGGATCTGAATGAATTCGAAATTAATTAGTAAGTTCAATAAACAAAAGAGATGATATTGATTCTAAGTGATGAAGAACTAATTATGGGCTTATATATATACCTGGTGTGCCGGGGAGATTCCGTTTGCGCTTGTTGGATGGATTTGAGGTAGGGTTTGGATTAGGGTTTGGGTTGGGATCTTGGATTAAGTCTCTCATGGAGGACAACCCATCTTCAGACATCATTTTTTTCTTTTTTCTTTTTTTTTTTTTTNAGAGAAGAGAATTTAAGTGGGTTAGGAGATTCCCAGGTAGGAGAAGATGATGGTTTGGAGCTGGAAAAAGCTGATGACAGTTGGTGTGTGTGTGTGTGTACGCGCAGAGAGAGAAAGAGAGATAGAGAGAGAGAATACTGCAAGGTTTTTTGGGGAAAAGAACAAAGAATTTGCTGAAAATAGGGGTGAAGGTGTGAAGAAATTGTTTGAATAGCTTTTGGGTCTCAAGAAACAAAGAGGAGCTTCGGGATTTTTTTATGAGTTTATTATCTCTTGCATGTTTTTTGAATCTTAGCAGAAAATACCATATGCCAATGAGGAGAATATTTTCTTTTCTTTCTCTCTCCTTATCTTACACGGCTGCTTCTGCCTTATTACTCTAAAAGGCGGTCATCCATAGACTCAGTTGGACCACTACTACTCCCCCTCTCTTTCTCTAAATTTAATTTATATTGCTTTCATTCAAGAATTTAACTTACTGGAGTAAATACTTAAATTTGATTTTTACTCGATAATGATGTACGATTCAACAAGAAAACATTCTATTTTTATTATTACAAAACAAAGGTATACATTCTTAGATAGTAAGAGATGCAAATTGGATATTTCAGGCAAAATTTCAAAAAACATATACTAATTTGGGCGTTATTCAAAAAAGATACATACATTTGGATCATATAAAAAAAAGATACACTAGATTGACAATTTGATCAAATATGAATATATGATGCATTAATCACCCCACTAAGATAAAATGCTGACATAGACGTATAATTTAATGACGTGTTATTATAACATTTTCCTTAATTTTTTACGTGTCATGTGGCCACAGTTGATGCCCCATGAATTTTTTTTTTTTTTTNGTACAAGTTGAAAATTAGATAGAAATTAGAAATACAGTTATATTATGCATTACATTAATTTCAAATTGTACTATGAAAATTATCTAGGAATTTGAAATTTTTCTTCTGTGCCAAATTTATGGCACGATTTTACATTCAGAGGCATTGGCGGTGAAACTTAGATTTTTTAGAATCATCATAGCAGCTTATTTTTCTCAGATTTTCAGTTCCTTCTCCTCCCTGTACCTCCAAACAATAGTCTCCCTTTCCATCCCCACAAACTGCGACCCATGGGGTACGAGATTTTCAAAAACGAGATGATGTCAGGCACCACCACAAGTTCAGGGCAGAAAAGGTTTTTAGAGCATGTTTGTTTATGAAAATTTTTGGTTTTGTTTGAATTTTTTGGTTTGGTTAGGTTAATTTTGAGAAAAGTGATATGGTTAGTTGTTAGTAGGTATATTAAAATAATTTTTAAAATAAAATAATTAAAATTGATTTGATGTAAAAGTAGGAGAAAGATGATTGAAGTGATGGTTAAAATAATGTGAGGGAGTGAATAGTGAATTAAGGTTGATGTGGTGTGTATGAATGATTGATTGATATTATTTAATTATATTAATAATATAGATGATAGTGGGGTTGAGTTAAAAAAGTGGTTGAGTTAAAATATTGAAATTTTTTTGAAAAATTTCCATTAAGGTCCGTTTTGGAAATGGTCCTGTAGGTGAAAAAAATTAATTTTTCTAGTCATTTGACCGCCTATTGCAGGTTAGTGTGACCAGTCCGCCTGTCTACGTGTAAATTCATTTAATTTTTTTTCTTTTTTTTTTTGCTGAGTTGGCATAATTATTATAAAAAAATGGCAACAATGGCGTTCAACCCTGCACCTCTGGAATCAAAAGGTGTACATTTTCCACTTGATCTACAACATAATTTGTTAAATGCATGACTTCAATTATCTATTAACATCTTTTTATCCAAAAAAAAAAAAATACTAATTCAATTTATACCACATTTAATTAAAAACTTATACATAATTTATTTTTTAAATATGTATTAATTACGAAAATAAAATCAGTCAATTAAATAAAAAAATAAATAACATTATATTATTTATTTAATTTATTTTATTTAACTTTTATTATCATTTATGTTTTTTATACTAGTTTACCTTATTTAATTTTAATTAAATTTTATTTATATATTAAATGAATATTTATTAAATAAATAAATATATTAAAATTAAAATATATTTTATATTGAAGTCTATATTATATGTTTTATTATTTATTATTTACTATATTAATGTTAATGTAACTTATTATATATTAATTATATACTAAATATTTGAAACAATAAAAATACAATAAACAAGAATAGATTAAAATAAAATATAAAAATTTAAAAAATAATAAAATAATATGCTTTTTATTTATTAATTTTCTTTATTTTTAGTTCGTAATGAATTTATGTTTAAAATTAGGTAAATGTATTCCAAATAAACAACATAACATAAAAAGAAATGGTACAAAAAATTTGATACATATTATTTATTTATTTTGTTAAATTTAATAATTTTCATATCGTAAATAAAAAATATTGAATAAATAAATTATTTATAAATTTCATATTTAAAAGTGGTATAAAAATTCAATTTATAACACTTTTAATTATAAATCATACATAATTTATTTATTCAATATGGATTAGTTACTAAATAAAAATCAACAAATTAAATATATAAATAAATAAATAACATATTATGATTATATTTATTTAATATATATATTTAATATCTTATTTAATATATATATTTAATATATTATTTAGTCTATTTATTTATTTACATATATTAATATATTTAATATAATTAATATATTATTATTTAATATATTTATGTATTTAGTAAATATTTCATTAATATACAAATAAAATTTAATTAAAACTGGTTAAAGTGAATCAACATGAGAAACAACATAAATGACAGAAAAAGTTTAATTAAACAAGGTAATTAAATTATGTAAAAGTTTTATAAATAAAAGCGTATTAAATAATGATTTAACTTCTTTTAATTATAAAATTTAAACATAACTTATTTATTAAAATATGAATTAATACAAATAAATTTGGTTCTCCTTATATATAGGGGTAGACCCTTTCCAATGCGAGTGGTCATGATTGGCTCTCCTTCTACAAACTCGATTTCGAAACGAGCCATACCTAGCACCACTAGAATCTAAAGTCGAACAATTGATTGCGAAATAACCGACCTCTAAACCGAGTCTCGATTTTTACCACAAACGATTTGAACTGTAACTAACCAATCGCATTAGATGAGCAAGATAAAATAAAAGTTAGTATCTTTAACTAAAATCGAACGTACCATGCAAATTCTGACCAAGGAGTTACTTTTACCTCTAATGACAATGTAAGTAAAAATAGAGCGAAATTAAGATAATAAGTCCTAAAACTAGGTACTTACTTCCCTAATGCATTCCCGAGGAAAATAAACACGAAAAAATCAGAACTTTAATAAGAAAAAGCATCGCTAGAAAAAAGTCACTAGAACACATAAGTTTGAATCTCCACAAGCGAAAGTCTAGATTGAAAAATAAGAAAAAGAGCAATGTTTATTGTGTTTTTGTGTTTATTTTCGTGTGATTTATGTGTTTTAGTTTAGCGTTTTTAGGTTCGATTTTGAGTCAACCGGTCCATTTTGTCGTGTTTTATGTGTTTCATTCTCGTTTTGCGTTTTTGTATCTTGTCGTATTTTCTTGCTTATTTTTAGTGATGTTTAGGTCCAATTTGAAATTCCAGGGATACGTGTATGTTTAGGTCCAATTTGAAATTCCAGGGATACGTGGCGTTCGTGCCATTGACGAGCCCTTGTCGAGCCCCTCGAACCAACATCGGACCACCTGAGTCACTTTATCGAGCCGCGAGTCGAGCATTAAGTCAAACCCGAGCCACTCGCGGCCAAGTTCATTTTGCAACACGCCAAGTACCCGAGGCCCTTATCCAGCACTCGCCCGCGAAGGGCAGCTCGCGACCAGCCAAGCGCAGGGTCCTCATCACATCCAGCACACTCGCAGCGGACCGGAGTTGGTGACCTGCAAAGTGCTATACCTAGCACCGCTAGAAGCTAAAGTCGAACAATTGATTGTGAAATAACTGACCTCTAAACCGAGTCTCAATTTTTACCACAAACGATTTGAACTGTAACTAACCAATCGCATTAGATGAGCAAGATAAAATAAAAGTTAGCATCTTTAACTAAAATCGAACGTACCATGAAAATTCTGACCAAGGAGTTACTTTTACCTCTAACGACGATGTAAGTAAAAATAGAGCGAAATTGAGATAATAAGTCCTAAAACTAGGTACTTACTTCCCTAATGCATTCCCGAGGCAAATAAACACGAAAAAATCATAACTTTAATAAGAAAAAGCATCGCTGGAAAAAAGTCACTAGAACACACAAGTTTGAATCTCCACAAGCCAAAAGTCTAGAGTGAAAAATAAGAAAAAGAGCAATGTTTATTGTGTTTTTGAGTTTATTTTCATGTGATTTATGTGTTCTAGTTTAGCGTTTTTAGGTTCGGTTTTGAGTCAACCGGTCCATTTTGTCGTGTTTTATGTGTTTTCATTCTTGTTTTGCGTTTTTGTATCTTGTCGTATTTTCTTGCTTATTTTTGGTGATGTTTAGGTCCAATTCGAAGATCTAGGAATACGTGCCGTTTGTGCCATTGACAAGCCCTTGTTGAGCCACTCAAACCAACATCAGAACACCCGAGTCACTTTATCGAGCCGCAAGTCGAGCACTAAGTCAAACCCTAGCCACTCACGGCCAAGTTCATTTTGCAACATGCCAAGTACCCGAGGCCCTTATCTAGCACTCGCCCGCGAAGGGCAGCTCACGACCAGCCAAGCGCAGCGTCCTCATCACATCCAACACACTCGCAGCGGACCGGAGTTGGTGACCCACAAAGCGGCATGCTCCAGCCCGACTCCGCGCACTCGCAGCAAGTGTTCACTCGCGCCCCGCAAAAACGTGATCCTGCGCGTGCCCAGTTCCCACTCGCTACCAACTTCTACTCACAGCCCGAAGCGGCAAGCGCCTAGGGCTGGAACTCGCGGCGAGTCCTTACT